TTAACGGTCTCTTAAATCGATGAAATACGCGCGGATTATACGAAAAGCAGCCGAGGATCCTATTTTCCCTCCGACCCTGCTCAAATTCGGAAATTGGCCTCTTGATTTACAACCGTCGATTAACGGATTAAGAGAATTCGATGCTCGCATTAGGGAATTCTCTAAACTGTGTTTTCGTGTCGAGCGAGTAGCCCGCGCTCCGCGTCGCGACTAAAGGGCGCCTCTTCTAAACGCGGAGCCTCCACGTTAATATGCTTACGAAGCCGCAACAACGCTGCCGCTCGCCGACAAAACAGTAATTTATCGGGTAAATAGCGGCGCAAAACAAGATGGGCGAACACGGTGTTACCGTAAATTCGAGTTCATGGAAACTTTCGGTTCGATAGCGGTGAATACCTAAATCCATTGTCCCTCTTCCGTTTGAATTTCCTTTCAGCTGGACGATCGTGCGAGGGAAACGATCGGATCGGTAGAATAGCGTTAATTGCGCGCAACGACGAGCTAATCGCATTGAGTTAACATATTCGTTGTACAGCGTTCCACGTACGTACAAATGAATGTTTAATGCGCTGCAATATTCGTTTAACTTGAATGTTGTACACATGTTCGTAAAGCTGGCTCGCTGGAAACTGCTTTGTAGAAGAGTTTCTTTCTTTGTAATATTATATTTTCGTTAACAGTGTAACTATTACCAGCTATCACTTTATTGATGGTGAATTGTAATCTAATATTGACTGTGAAATTATCCATAAAAACAATTTTTATGAAATTATATTTTCTAATATTATAATTTTATTGTCAATATTAAATATAAAATTAATATTTACTAAAATTTCATTATATTTAACTATTTTAATATATTTATATTTGATATTAATTTTTATATTATAAATATATATATATATATTTCGATTTATATATAGATTTATATTTATATATAGATTTTATATTAATATATGAATTATAATAATATAAAAATTAAAATCAAATATAAATATATTAAAATAGTTAAATATAATGAAATTTTATTAAATATTAATTTTATATTTAATATTGACAATAAAATTAGCTCCTAACTTTATAATTAGGTACAAATATTTTATTATTCCTATTTCTAAATATATAGTTTATTTAAAACATTATATTTTCAATATTATGCTCTATGTATATAAGCTATTTAAGTATTATATATATATAGAGCATAATATTGAAAATGTAATGTTTTAAATAAACTATATATTTAGAAATAAAGATATTTATATCTAATTATAAAGTTAGGAGCTCTAATTTTTTATTTCAGATGAAATTAGAATTTTATTCAATAATTTTATCAACGCATAAATAATTTCACTATCAACATTAGAATTCAAGAATCACATTCAAAGAAACTAAAAATACATCTCGCACCAGTGAGTAACATTCCTAACGTGTCGTATAATGATTAAAATTATTTTTCCTCCTATAATTATACGATACTAATACATTCTACATTGTATATATACAGCTATTAATAAAAATAAGAACAGATATCATACACTTCCGGCCAATAAAATTATTTAAATCATCTCTATATTTGCTTTTGATACACCAATTCCAAAAAGAAAAAAAAAAAAAAAAAGTGGAATATAATGAATACGCGACCAGCGTGCAGCTAATGGGATCATACAGCATTCGTTCTCGAAGAGGTGAGCTGTGCGGGGCTGCGAAGCGTCGAAAATGGATCGCTCGGCTCGTGACGGGTAATTTTTTGAATAAACAACCACCGGCGAAACGAGTCGCATTAATTTGTGAACCGTGGTGTTTACCTGTGTGCACGCATAACGAATGAGCTCGGGTGACGCGTGATTTTCTGGCAACCGGTACGCCGCTGCCCGCGACAAAAGTTTCCCATTTCTCCCCTCACCTTTCTCGTTCCATGCTTGTCCGCGTGCCTCGGTATTACCTTGGCCCCATCGAAAGGTACCTCGTCATCGATTAAACTCGGCCAACAATGAAGCACGATTTCAGAAGGACCAATTACGCCCGGCTCAAGAGCAACAGACCTTTATCAACGCGCGGTAGCCCACGGTTTCATCGTTCAACTTTTCACTCCACCGTTCTCGTTCGCGGCGTCCCGCAAACAAGCTCGTCATCGTTCCTTTAACGATTTATATTATCGTCGCGGACGAACGCGATCCCCCGCCTACTTACACGTCGTTAAGCTTCTTTCGTGTCCCGCTGTTGCACCGTCATCGTGATACAGCCCGCTCCGCATCTTGTACACGCTTCGCTCCGCCAGTGAAAGACTATTCGTCCAGTTTCTGCGACAGCCAGCTGTCGCTGGGAAAGTTCAAACGCGCGGGGACTCCGCGAGACGATAAAGGGTCGGTTACTTAAAGTGTCACGGGACGTGGTTCGTTCCAGTGCTACCACGCTGGATGGAGAAAAATGATCGGTGACCCAGCGCGCGTAGAATTGAGACTGACGGCCTCCTCCACGTGCGCAACCTCCAATGTACACTTTCTCGGGACTTTCGTCAATTCCTGCGGCATTCATATTTACACTTCCTCGTTCTTTCACGTCAGTCCTTCTTTCAGAGGTTGTTTTCATAGGATTAACACTACTCGAATGAAAGTATCCGCTTTTTCAAAAGATCCTCGATCCTCCTCCGATCGAGGATGTTTGTTCTTGCCCCTCATCGAACTAACAACCACCGATCGTTCGACTTGACCACCAGCTAAAAATCCTTGAAACCACGTAGACGTGCATTTCTCGGCTCTCGGTCGGCCGTATGGCGCGTCAAGGGTGTCGGTTAGGGCCCGGACTAACGAGGGTTAAGGCATCGCGACGGCGGCGCGGCGTTTTCGCCATGAATCTCAGCCTCGGAGCGGCATCTTCGCACCTACACGGTTCCGTGGTTCCTTTGTGCTCGTTTTCCTTTCGCTACGGGCAGTCGGCTCGCGACGTACCACTTAAAATTGATTACCTTAATTTATGGAACGGTTAATCTAGGCGCGGCGGCCGCTGCGGGCGGCTCCGTGATTTATCGTTGCCCTATGCCTCGCTCGAATCGCCACTCTTCGATCGTTCATTCGTCCGAACGCTCCGCTAATGTTTCTCACACAGGACAAGGTTAAGTTGATTTTTTCGGGATCAACTTTCAATCCCCAACTGCATCACACGCGTTCCATACCGTGGTTAACGCGGCTTTTCGTAGAGATTGATACGTGTGAACTTGTGAAAACTCTGAGATTCATAAATTAGTTGACTGAAAGCCGATGATTTGCCCGGTTTACCGGTTTAAGTTATGCCGGATGTCGCTCCTCCGACAACGATCTGTTGGTCGCTATCGTTTAATCTCTCCATGCTTCGTTTTCTAGCCTCGTCCTTGTCGATCAGGCCAAAGGACGTGTTCTGTCGGAAACTTTTCCACTAACGACGTCTATTACTAACGGTGACTACACGTTGCAGCGACGCTGATGGAACCAGATTACGAAGATCAGCCAGATTCTGTACGTTCCAGAAACACTTACCCAAAGAAGGGAACTTCGATGAAGAGATAAGAATTTTGCTGACAAGAATTCTTAGCTAAAATTGATTAGCTTTCGCCAGGATGTTTCGTCAACTCACTTTTAATACGTTATTGAAATATGTTGATGCATTTTATTGTTAGAGAAAACATGGAAATAAAGTTTGTAAAATTAGTTTTTATCTGTGAATTTACTTGAATCCTTGAAACGATACTATCATCGTGTTAGAAACATTATTTAAAACACCAACATTGCGTACTAAATTAAAATATTACATAGAAATTATCGTATAAATCTTGTAAAGCTATAACCGTTGACACCAATTGAGCTTTTATTTATTAAATTGTTACATACTCCATTCTTACAATTATCATTCTACATGACACATAGAAAAATTGTAAGAGACGGCTGTTAAGAGAATTAACAAACATTTTTAATATCAATGCCTACGTCAATGACCAAAGTCACATGTTGCTAACGTTTAATTCTTCCGTAATCCGTACTTACAACTCATCAGAGCGGTTTTACCATTACGTAACCGAATCGAATCGTTATATTCGCAAATAATAAAATAAAACAAACTTCGTGGACTTTCATTTTCTTGGCATCGTCGCGTGAATCCCAACTAGTCTTCCGAGGCGAAACGAGTCCTCGCGGCGAGAGAAACGCTGGCCAGGCGCTTGTATTAAATCGCGACGAAGACCAACGTCCACCGCCCGTCCCGTCAATTACTCTAATTACCCGCGAACAAAGGCCTGGCGTGCATGAAACGGCCGTCACTGTCGCCGGTGAAATTCGACGGTGGTCGAGGGCGGTGGACGACGAGCCTGCGACGGTTGTACGAGGCCGGACAACAAACTCCCTCCCGTCGTTACCACGTTTTCTCATTCTGTCCAGGAGCCAGCCTCCCCCGGGGCCATTTCTATTTGTCCTCCTGAGAGCTAAACCGTGTCGCAGCTTCCGACGGCACGCGTTCGCTGAACACGGTCGGTCACCGAACGGCGACGACACTCCCCCATCCGTTGGCAGAGGGCTGGAAAGGGAGGATTTTCTTGCTGACGAGCGACGGTGACTCGTGCCAACCGATTGTTTTATGACCGTGGATACACTTGGAGTTAACGTGGAACAGATAGCGCTGGCCGTGCATATCTGACGAGACGAGCGAAGATTCGAACGCGCTTGTTTCGGAGATATCAGCTAATGGAATTTGCATGATAATGAAATCGCAATCCTGAGGAGATACGGAAGACTTGAGATGACGGCGAGGGGACTGCTCGAGGTAATGGGATATCGATGAGGGATTTTCTGGCGAGTGTGGTTGATTTCTTTTGTGTGTGTGTGTGTGTGTGTATGTTCGTTTTTTCTTGTGAAAAGGAATGTTGAAATATAATAGTGTGAAAGATAATATTATCATTAGTCAATATGCAGGGAAACTTTCAATACATCTTTATTGCATTTGTACTTCATACATTATTTTATATGTATGTTTGTTCTTGCTATATTGTGCATTGGAAATGTGTTTATTTTCTATACACAAATTTATAGTAATATATAATTCTATACACAATGTACCATCCCACGCAAGAAAATGGCTATCGATATTAGAAGATTTATGTGTTTCATACACAAAACGTGTATGCACACGCAAAACAGCTAATATAGCTGTGTCCTCTAGATTTTATTTATGTTTGGTTGGTAACTGTTACAGTTTTCATCAGAAAAAAATGTTAAGGAATAAATCTTTCATCAATTTAAATTGCAGGGAAATATTGGAATTTCAGTTCGTTTCGTTGCGGACAAGAAACGAATCGTTTACAGCGCCGTTAAGTCGCGCGACATTTTCTACCTCGTGTCAGTTGGCAATTTTACGGTTGGCAGAAGCTATCGGCTGTTTACGACATTACGTGATAGCGTTTCGTAGGCGTTATGCAGCTCCGAACGATCCAACGACTTTGTAAAATCATTGTTAACTCTGAAACGCGGTGCTAATGAGACGCCTCGTGATCTTCGCTTTCCAACAGACACGTTTACACCCTCGCTACTCTCGAACGATCTCCGATCACCTCTATCATCTTCCAGATAAATACTTCACGTACATTTATGTATATTTTTAACACATTTTTAAAGTGTCGGATTGTTGGAAATAATTCGCAAATTTTCATAGAAAATTTTCATCGATTCACAGCGCTGCATTTTTCGAGATTTTTTTTCTATTCTTTGCATTTTATTTCTCTAACGCAAGTTTCACAATCTGTTCGTATAATTCCTACGTAAAACGAAAAATTTATTCTCTTAAGCAGATTTGTTTATACAAGCGGAATGTTATTTTCTTTTCTTTTCCACGTCAGCTTCTTTCTTTATAGATTTACTTCTACCGCATTTCCTCAATTACACATAATTCGCTGTGAAACCGCTGAGCGACTGACTGCCGAGCAAACTACGCAATAAAACAGCGTTTAGCCAATATAAATCGATAGAAAAGCAATATATTCTCAGATCTCGTACATACACGTATATGCCCGACATCAAAGTTGATTCGAACGATTTAAGGATTTAATGATAACAACCTTAATGATTTAATATGCTCTTTTTCAGTTACAATCAATCGTAATTACTGGATTGCGGATTTTTATGCAAATTTATATTTTTGTGAATAGAATAAGAAAAAAAGGAAAATAGAAAATTGATAGAAATTTGCTTCACGTATCGAACATTACAAAGAGCATTGTGCTTTGAATATTTTATGTATTTTTACATATTTGCGTGCAATTTTGCACTTGAAAATTTCCTGCAAATGCACAAAAATCCGCAGAACAACGAAAACAACAGGAAGAAACGAGAAAAATTCTTGTGAGAAAGTTCATAGCTCCGAGAAGAGCAGCCAGATGCAAGGTTATGACGTTCTCCAATTAACCAAGGTCAACGAGGAATCAGTAGTCCCTAAACGGCGATCATTAGGCGCACATGGAACATACAAATGATCAGACAGAGAAAGAGAGAGATAGAGAGAGAAAGAGAGAGAAAAGCACGGCTTTAAACTTACCTCTCTTCATGCATGGTGTACGTAGAATCGCGCATAACCGTGCAACGATTCGCAATTGCGACACGGTCGCGATTACTACATTGAATAATTCATCGCTGCCGGTCTTGTCAAAGAATATATCGATAGGGGCACTCTTCCCTTTTACACTTCCTCCGTAGTCGGTACTGTGACTCCTCCCACTCGCCTCTCTCTCTTATTATTCTTCTTTCTCGACGACCTTTTTCTTTCACCGATCCTTCCAGGAAAAGTGGGAAAATTGGTACGTTTCCACAGTTTAAAAGCTTCAAAGTCGAGAGAGGAGGAAGGAGAAAGAGAAAAGAAGGAGAGGGAGGGAAGAAAAAAGGGGGATGATCAGATCTGAAACGAAAAGAACAAAGATCGACGAGAAATCGCTGCGTTGTCGAAAGACATTTTTTTCGTCGGCTTTTGTTTCCCGAGAAGCCACGGCAGGCAGGCAGTCCCTTTTCTCCCCTTTTCCCCCATCGAGAGTCACGACAAACGGTTCATACTTCATTCTACTTCGTTTCCCATCCATCGTTGGGATCATCGATAGGTATGGGTGGATAGGATACTTACGAATCCCGAATGAATTCAACGTCCAAGTTTCGTTTCACGAGTTGTCCTGCCAAGAATCACTGTAACAAAATTCGTGACAAAAATTATCAACCTGTAACATTTTGGAATTCTCGAAACTAAAATATGAAATATCCCCAAACTATAAACTGTTAGAAGATTGTATTGTCAATATGATAAAGAAAAAAAAGAAAATAGCAAACGGAAAAACGAGCCGAATATTTTACTACAATCAAATTCAAGAGGGAGATCACAAAAATGGCAATGGTAAACTATTTACTTTCTCATTTTAGAAAATAGTCAGGAACATTCGAAATTATTCTATTTGAATTAGTGGGTGATTGGTTAACGAACATGGACTGTTCAATGCTGCTACCGGAATTGTTCGTTAATCGGTCATAGATGGCAGTAAAACACAGTTCTATCTATCTATATATATTGAGATCATTTGCTTTCGAGATAATTAAAATTATTAAAATAAATTAATTAGCTCTGACACAAAAGGTACAAAATATATTTTACTTATTTATTTTTAAACAATTAATTTTCATTACTTTAAACTATTAATATTATTATTAATTTTTAATTATTACTAAAATATATTTTTATTATAAAACTTTTATATTATATTATATTAATTATATTACTTATATTAATTTAAAATTATATATATATATATAAATTTATATTTTACACATATATGTCGCTGTGTGAGGTGTTTGTTATCCGAACATAAAGCTATTTCGTGGAAGTTGTCGTTGCCAGAATTATTCGCAGTTCAATCCGATCACTTACTGTACTTGATACGAGAAAAATACATCGGAAAATATGAGTTCGAGTGCAAGGACACTGAAAGTTCGAACCTACTTGTGAGGTACTCGATCCCATCTCTAACCATCGGACATCGCCTCCTACCGGAATCCACCGCGTGTTCTTTTTGGCCTTTGAGGCGCCGCGACACAGGTACCAGCATATTAATCACCGCCGGCGACCATCGTTTCTTAACTCGTGCCCATTTACACGGTCTATTGTCAAGGTCAAGTTGGTTGAAGATTTTTTCCACGACACACCGGCAGCTCGTTAATTACTCGCGTTAAAGCGGAAGGACGACGTTTGAGCGGAAAGGAAGCGCTCGTTTCATACATTTTTAACCAACTTTCTTCCCCGTAACAAATTAACTCGAATCAAAAGTTAAGAAATATTGGAAACGCGGCAAATTGGAGCGATTGATAATTATTAATTAATAGCAGAGCGGACGGTCGTTTGGAAACGATTTTGATAAATCGCACGTATCGGTGATCGTTGGAGTAAAATATGAGAATGCGGGATAAAATGGCGATTGTTTTCGAAGCTTCCACGTTGCCAAAAAGAAACGATTGATCAATATGGTGATCTTATTCTTCTATGTGTTTTTCGCATCTGCAAATAAGCAAGGCTTCTCCATCTTGAATGTTATTATGTCAAACAATTTCAATTTGAATAATTTACATAATGATCAAAATAAATAGATTTATACGATTATGTTTAAGTATAAACAGAAATCAATATTAATTTTAACAAAAGTATTGTTCAAGCAATTATAAAGAAAAAAAGAAAATTTGAAATCCGTCATATCGTTGAGATAAATGACTAATAAATTATTCACAATTAAGATAGACAAACAAGTAATTAAATAAATAAATAAAATTATCCGTGGTTAAGATAAGTAAATAAAATTATTCGCGAATAAATAAAAATACCATTATTCAATTAATTTCAATATAACATTTGAACAATAAATAGATACAGGATGAGGCGGGACAGTATTTTAAAACAAGTTTTATGTCCCGCGAATTTTTTCCAACATATTTCGATAAACAAGTATTAACATCATATGTAATATTGTTTTAAATACAAGCTCAACGAACATAATATTATACAAATTTTTGCTCCGTATCCTCCCTTTATTTTAACCGAAATTTTTGATCGCGCTAAGCGTTTCTTTTTTGTGGAATTCCAATGATCCGCGGTGGTGGTCATGTAATTAACGAATCGATGACTATCCGAGACTCTCGCGATGATTCGTCGAGCATACTAAGATTATTCTGTCTGCACAGTTCCAAAGAATCAGCCCGGCGATAAACAGTCGCTGGTTTAACCGAATCTCCGACGTCCGAACTAAACTCCACAAGACGTCTCGCAAGGTCCTTCGCAGCCTCCGGCTGGAACTTCTTTAAAACGGAAACTCTAATGCAGTTCCGGCGAGAGTTGAACGCGGCGAAGTTTCCCGTGGAAAAAGGTCGCGCGCGTCTAGTAGCCCGCGGAATCGGAAGTTTCGCGAAGAAAAGGAAGATCGAACGCCTTCGAGGCAGCCATCGAGCTGTGCATCAAATTGCAAGCGCGGCAATTAAGAAGATCTCTCGGTCTCTCGTAGTTTTCTATCGCTGTCAACAGACGTTGCATCTTATTCGTAATATTTATTCGTAACATAGTTCGTAACGGAAGCGCTACCAAAGGAAGTAGGAAAGTACAAGAGGGAAACGCATAAACTTGAAGTGGAAGTGTGAGAAGAAATTGCAATGAAGAAAGTCGAATTGTTATTGGAATATTGTAATTGTAATGTGTCCTACATATTGTGAATTCCGTGTATTTTTATACCTTCAAATTTCTCATAGACGTGTAAAAATTGATCTTTAAACATGATTTACTTTTAATTTAATCGATCATTTATTAAGTATACACGTGCACACGTCCATTGAATTTCCGTTTCTCTTGCATGTCTAAGGAAAATGTAAAAAGTGCAAAATAAATTCTGATCTAAAATTCACAATTTTAAAAAATATGTCTCTATTAAAGATATTCATCTAGAATATTCTGATTTTTATGATTTAAAATTCTAAATTTCTTCTCCCGTCCACTGCGTGCAAAGAAAATGTAAAAAACGCTATCTGACATGCTTTCTCAACAAATTATACTATATATATCAGCGTATTCCAGCAGGATCGTTTCGAATACTCCGGATAAAGTTTAATACATGGAATAGGGAATCGATCGTCGCGTGATACTCGGCGAAATTAACACCTTGCCCGACGAGAAACCTTCGACGGCGCAGTCGATCATCGACGCTGGTGAAACGTGATCGAACGACTTCGCGGCTCGTAAACCTAAAACCGACGAGACCCATTTACCATATGATTATGGCGCGCCAAGCTATGAATACTGACGCGTTCTTTCATTACCAGCGAGCCAGCGTAGCGCGAGCCACTGAAACCGGTAAGAAGAAGTCTCCAAAACCAACTACCATTCATGGTGAGCATCTCGTTCGCTGAACCTGGCTCGACGGAAGTGCGAAAATAAACGAAATTAGAGGTGATAATGGAGACACCGGATAATAGCTATTAAAGCGCGCCGTCTTCGGAATAAATGGAGAAAGAAATGACGACAGTTTAAGAAGACAAACGACGTTAAACGTCGTTAAACGAGAGTGTTTATTTTCACCAAACAATGCTGATGCTTGGGCGTTTCATCGGTGGACGAGATTTATGATAAAATATCGTCCAGATAGACCTCTCCGTGCTTTTCAAACAGTTGCCATCGCGACGAATTACGCGGTCATACATTATGCACCGAGTTGATTAACGAGTCAATTACACACCTTTCACCGAGATCTTCTTCTCCGATGCAATTTGCTGCTTTTTATTTATCTATTTTCATACGTATTTATCTATTTTCATACTTCTTTATTTGTTACAAGTGGTTATATTTTTAATTATCTACTGATAAATACTCGAAAATGTAAAAAAGCAAAGTGACTTCTTTCTAATGCTACGATATACCCCATAAATATTTTGAAAATTTGACTGAATTACGATCCGCGCTGCTGCATTAACTTATTGATATTCCTAAAAGAAAAATGAACTTGAAAAAAAGTTAAACAATTGTTTCAATCGACAACGTATCACCACTCGTTGAACCACTTTTCACCTCGTGAAGTAGACAAACAACGAATTGAAACCCGTAACTGCTTTTACGATTTTTTTATTGTTTCATGATTACTTCTACTACGTTACTGCATTAATTCCCCTCTCTCCCCTCCCCACCAAAAAATTCGTTTCGAAAATATTAAACGACAGCTTCGATCCACAAACGCATCGCATCATCGGACCACTTTTCACCCCGCGCGCCGCCAAATAGAACGAATTCACAGCAAAACGCGAGCCAACAACGAGGGCGAGGAGGGAGAGAGAGAGAGAGATAGAGAGAGAGAGAGAGAAAGAAAGAGAGAAAAAAGAACGTAAACCGTGTAGAGAGCAGCGCATTTGCGGTATTATCGTAACACGCTAGTCCATGAATATTTATGAGTCCCCTTTCGTTCTATCATCGCGAAAATCAGCCCTGTCCGGCGAAGCGTGCTGGCGTCGCGCGCCGCGTATCGCCGCCTGTTTCTCGCCCTATCGAGCCGCGATGATTAAACCCGAGTTGGCATTCCACGGCGTGGAAGCGGTTATTAACGACACGTTGCACCTTCGACGGTTCTACGGGGCTCGCGCGCGTCCGAGATCCGATCGATGGCTCCTCTTTTCCTCCCGCCCTCTGCCCCATTCACTCTCTCTCTTTCTCTCTCTCCCACTCGCTCGCTCACTCTTCGCGATCGCCGCGAGACGTTCTCCTGGCTATTTATCCTGACCGGATCCATTAGCCGAGATATACGGTATGCAGGCACGGTAACACGAGTAATTCTGTTGCGCGTAGTCGCGGCTGACACGCCTGGATTTTTCGCCGGGGCGAGAGACGCGCGATCCGTCGCCGCCGGGACAGGCGTTATCGGCGGACGTTTATACAGGACAGGCTGATATATACTGCGTTTAATCGAGGGAAAAAATATCGGCGACGCAGAGCGCGCGACGATATATTTTATCTTAAATAGGTTCCAACACTGTTATCGCGGGACGAACGCGATAATTAATTCCAGCTGATAGATCCGTCTGAATGCTAATCGGCCACGAAGGCCGCGTGATCGCGTGAGAACGCCGTAATCCTCTCGATATATATGTATATATATAAAGAGACAGAGAGAGTCTCT